CTTAGAAGACAATCTGCCTTCACAGACCCCCAGGGTAGCCTCATCTGCTGGGTTCATGTGGGTGAATCCCGAGGCAGGGGCTGGGGGGTCCGCAGAGTCCCTGCACGTGTCTCCCACCTGCAAGGCCTGCACGCCCGCAGAGCAACCTGGGGCTTTCTCCTTCGCCTGTTCTCCTCCAGGTGAGCTGGATGGAGCTGGAGGTGATGGCTCGGGCAGGTACAGCCTCAGCCCTGTGCCACTTGCCAGCCTGGGGGGCTGTTAGCTCTGTGGTCCCTTGGGTCCTTTCACAGCCTGAGAAGCTGCTGCCCCCCACTCCGCCCATGGCTGCTCTAAGGTGGGTGCTCCTGGCCGCACCCTGCAGCCTGTGAGGTGAGCATTCACCTTGGGGGAGCTCGTGGAAGCCCCCCGTGCACTAATGCAGAGGGAGAGCCTCACAATGCCCCCCCCCAAACCTGAGCTGCCGTCCTGAGCTTCACCCTCACTGAGTATGATTGGATGGGGGTTGAGAGGAAGCGACCCCTGAGCCAGGAGCCCCGGGCACCTCTGGCAGGAACACAAAGTCATTTCTGCTCCAAGCTGCACTGGGTGGGCTCAGAAGAGCAGCTGAGAATCGGGGAGTCCGCCTGGGCTGAACACCCATCAGAACAGCAGCTCAGACACCCTCAGTGACAGGCAGACAGCGCCTGTGTCCGCCCTTTCCACGTGGGAGCCAGGCAGCCACTTCGGGTCCCCACTGAGGGCAGAGTCATTGGCGGCTTTGCCCATGTCAGGGGTACCCCGTGTTCAGACTTCCCCACCAAACTGTCCGGGAGCCCCCACTGGGCAGCCGGCTTTTCATCAGTTTGTTGTGATAAAATTTCTGCAAGCGATAGGGGCCAGAAAGATAGTACGATAGAAAAATTTCTGCAAGTGATAGGGGCCGGAAAGATAGTACGATAGATAGGGCACTTGCCTGGCACACAGCTGGCCCGGGTTCATTCCAGGCATCTCATACGATCCAAGCACCACCAGGAGTAATTCCTAAGTGTAGAGCCAGGAGTAAGCCCTGAGTGTTGCCAGGTATGGCCCAAATAAATTCTGCAAGCACTCTCTCTCTCTCTCTCTCTCTCTGTGTGTGTGTGTGTGTGTGTAATCAGCCCCCAGCAACTCGGGAATAACAGGTGGCTGTGCAAAGAGCACCCACATAAGGCCGGCGTGCCCAGGAAGGAGAAAGCTGAGAATGAAAAGGTCTGATGAGATGACGAGACCTACACAACTGAGGGGAATTGTCTTAAATGGCTGATTGAAATGAGATGCACATAAATTGTAAGGCGTGTAATGAAATGGAGAGAAAAAATATCCTCGCCTGATAATCTGGGGGGGGTCGGGAGGGGTGGTGGGTAATGTCTACACCTGAAAGAAGCCAGCTCGGGCGGCGAGTGTAATGAGATGCACATAATTTTAAAGAGTGTAATGAGATGAAAAATAAATCAAACACTTGTCTTAAAATGAGAGATGTGCCGAGGTGCACACACCTGAAGGGCATTGTCCTAAATGGGTTCCGTTTAATGAGAGGCATTTAATTTGCAAAGGGGCTAAATGAGATTGGCCCAGGGAGAAATGGCAAAGTAAAAGCCACGTTGGGAAGACGCAGACCTGCCTGGTGCAGGGGCGGGGGGCTGCGGGCCGAAGAGATCTCTGCAGAGCCAAAGGCAGCCTTTGGCCTGCGCCCACCACCGCTGGCTCATGGGGCCCAGGTGGCCCTAAACCCAGTCATGGTAACAGGACGTTTCTCCATCGGGCCCTGCTCCCTTCCACTGCCGTGGGGCTGAGCATGTCCTCCAAGGGGGACAGGGAGGCAGCTGTGGGGCCATGGGGAGTGCGGGTTCCCTGTGCGGTGCCTCCCTGCTAGTGTCTGTCCAGTGATGCCTGCAGAGCCAAGCGCCTCCCTCCCAGGAACAAGGAACATTTCCCTGCACAGAGCCACGCTCCCTGGGAGGAAAGGCCCCCAAAGTGGGCGACGGGATGGAAGGTTGACGTCATCAGCCAGCCCAGACTCAGCCACACACCTCCACCATGAACGACAGCAGAACCTGTGGCCCAGTGCTGGGGAGATCATGTCAGCGGGCAGAGCTGCACCCCCCAGATGTAGCCGCATGGGGACAAGCCCCCAGAGTGGCTGAGGGGAAGCTGGCTCTCAGGGCTGAGGTGTGTTCTGCTTGTTTTGAGAGACGCTGGCACCAACAGGGCCAGGCTGACCAGGATGCTGCCCATGTGCTCTGCGTGGTCAGGACTCAGGTCACTGTCCCTGGCCTAGTCTCCTTCCTGGTACAGCGTCCCTCGTGTGGAACACTGGGTCCGGGGCTGGGTTTTTCGGGGTGGGAAGGCAGTGCCCCTGCCCGCAGGGCTGTTTGGGGACGGCTCCAGTGTGGCATGTGCAATTCACCCCACACTGCCGTGGAACTGGGGCTCAAGAACAGGTTATTTTTGGGGGGGGGGGAAGAGGACTGCAACTGACCACTTAAGGACTACTCCCAGTTTAGTGCTCGGCAGCTGCTCCTGCAGTGCCAGGGATGGAACCCAGGACCCCCACATGCAAGCCTGGGCCCACTGTGCACTCTCTCTCCCTCTCTCTCTCTCCTCTCTCACCCACCTCCCCTGGAGCACATCTTTCTTTTTTTTGGTGGGGGGGGGTCACACCTGGCGATGCACAGGGGTGACTCCTGGCTCTGCACTCAGGAATTATCCCTGGCGCTGCTCAGGGGACCATATGGGATGCTGGGAATCAAACCCCGGGTCGGCGTTGTGCAAGGCAAACGGCCTACCCACTGTGCTATCCCTGGAGCACATCTTTTAACAATCCCTTGCAAAAACATTGCCTTAAGGGACTGTCCTCTCCCCGGCTCTGGGCAGTGGCTTTCAAGGGAGGAGCTGCGATGGATGTGGGGTCACCACAGTGTCCGTAGAACCGTCTGGTAGCGCAGGCTCAGAATCTCAGAGCCGTGCCCCTGTGTGTGACTGTCCCCCTTCCTCGCGGCTCCCCCATGGGACACAGGGGCCCCTAGCGGCTGTGATTAAGAGCTCGCCTCCTGCATGGATCCCGACCCCCCCAGCAGCACCCCCAAACATCTGGGGGCTGGAAACCGCCTCGCTGGGGAGGCTGCTCTCAGCTCCTTCCTGACCTGCCCCAGCCTCCAGATTCGGGGATCTTTCACCCCAGGACAGCCTGGAGGCCTGGGAGGGGTCTGGGAGATGCCAGGTGGGGACGAGACAGGGGACGCCCCCTGCTGGGCAGGCCGCGGCCAGGAGAGGGCGTGTGGAGCCAGCAGCCACCTGTGCGTGGGGCTCCGAGGGGACGGGGCTTGCGGGACGCCCCCCAGCCCGCGCCCTTTTCTCTGTCCCCGCCCCGAGGCCCGCTGAGCACAGAGAGAAGCGCGCACCAGGGTGGTGGTAGTTAATAAGGTTTACTGAAAACGTCTCGGCCACATTCAGTCCTGGCTTGGTGGATACATCAGGAGGTGCGGACCCCGGGCAGGTGGAGGGCTGAGAGGAGGTGTGCAGGTGTGCCCGTCCAGAGGGGAGGCCTGGAAGGGGTGGGGTGCGTGTGCGCGCGTGCGTCTTGACGAGAAAAAAAAATGAACCAGAAAGAGAAATGTATTTTATCCCACTGCACGTTGCAAAAGTCTCACGCCAAAAAAGCTCGACTTGCCTCTACCTATGGCATCAAAAGGGAGTAAAAAAATGATTGGATCACCCGGATTATAAATAAGATTTTGTTGCTCAAAAATCCCTATTAAAACATTAAATATCAGCTCTTTTGTTTTGGGGGGTGGGGGTGGGGTGGGGAGAAATACATTCATTTTTGAGAGACCTCAAGAAAGCAATCATCCTTTTGTGCACTACCCCAACCAGGTGTGTGGGGGGGGCGTGCCCCAGGGGCCCGAGGGTGCAGGCAGCCCCTCCATGCTGCCCCGGCTGGAACTGGCCAGGGCACATCTCACAGAGCAAGCTGTGGTCCTTGCCGGGAAAGCCGGTGGGACACACACGCAGGCGCAGTCCAGTTCTCACGGCCGGGGGGCGGGGCGCGGGGCGGGGCCTCCCGTGCAGGGCCCCAAGGCGGGGTGCAGATGGGAGAGGGGTGGGCGGCACCACTTGGCTCAGGGTGCCACGTCTTCCGGGCCCATCCCGCATTCTGGATGCCGATGGGAAAAGGGATGTAGCACCTTCTCCAGCCCCCGGCTTCCCAGCGGGCTGGATGCTTCTTGCCGATATTTCTTCTGCCTTCCTGGAAGGATAGAATGGAGTTGGGGGGCCGGTGGGATGGGCCTGCCGAGGAGCATTCCGGGCGGGGAGACCTAAGCTGGCCTGGCAGCCCTCCGCTGGTCTGCGGGGGTGAGACCGGGGAAGCAGGTCCACCCCACGGTCCTGCTGGGCCGAGCTGAGATCTGGGACCATCTGGGGACAGTGGTGGGGGACAGTGGTCCCCAAAGCCAACCCTGGGGGGGACCCTTGTCGTCACCTACTTGAGCCCATGCCTCTCTTGCCTCCAGGTGGGAGGAAGTGCTGTGCTCCCTGCCCCACCTGCCCCGTGGGGCACCCCCTGGCCCTCCCCTCCTCCGGCCACTGGCTCTGCATTGGGGCTTCCTCCTGCCCTGAGTCTCATGAAGCAGCCGAGAACCGTCTGGGGGCGGAATGTGGCCCCCGTCGGCCTTGCCCTTCCCTCTGCAGCGTATCTGCGGGCGGAGAGCTCCCCGCAGCCAGCCCTGGCCCCTCCCCGGGCAGGGCGACTCCCCGACAAGTCCTTCCGCGGGGTCGGGGGCCCAGGGGCGTCTGTCCTGGGAAATTTGGTGAGTCCAGATCTCACGGCTGCCCCTTGGCCCCCCAACTCTGGAGGAGGGGCTGGGGGGGCTCGGTGAGGCTCCATGTATGGGCAGAGCAGGCTCCCCTCTGCGTGTCTTCCATCGCTGATCCGGGGAAGCTCGGGGGCCCACTTCCTGGGTGCTGCCTGCCCGCGTCCCCTCTCCCCGGCCGGGAGCCCATGCGGAGGCGGCGGTCAGCGCCATCCGGGCTATCCACTACTCCAGCGAGTCACTGTGTTCCAAGCCCAGGTCACTGACGTTCGTCGTCTGCAGCTCATCCGCCTCTTCTTCCAGCTCCTCTTCCTCCTCCTCCTCCATCTCGTCTTCCTCCTCCTCCTCGGTCCCGTCCAGCGAGTCGTCGTGGGCGGCCATCATGGCCTGCTGCATAGCGATGGTGGCGTTGTCTGAGGAAAGGGACTGGAGGTTGTCCAGGTTGATGGAACCTACAGGGGCGCACAAGGCCAGACTGAGGCCCAGGAACTGCGGGAGTGGGGGTGGGGGAATCCCAGGCCAACTGCCACCCGCAGGTCCCACCCCGTTCAAATGCCAGCGCTGGTGGCCGCCCCTCCCTGAGCGTCACCGTGTAGAGGCCAACACGCAGGGGGCTGACCTAGGTGAGGCCAGTCCCGCCCTCCCCCCACCCCCCATGGGAGCTAGCAAGGCCTTTCCACCATTAGGGGTGGCAGGCATGAGCCCTGTCCTCGTGGTGGGCCATAAGCCGTCTGCTCCTGGAATCATTCACAGAGCTCAGGGCCACTGGCCATGATGAGCAAACTGGACATGGCGGGTGGCATGGAGGAGTGGAGGGAGCGAGGCTGTCTCGGTATTTGTGGGGGCCCCGTTCTAGGGAGGGGCCTTTGTGGGCCCGACTCCCTCCTGCTCTGTGGCGGGGCCCACCCAGTGGGGACGGTGGCAGAGCCGGCAGTCGCACCCAGCGCCTGGACCCCTCCCAGCTCTTACCGTCGGGGTTTGTGCCCGGGGCACCCCCCTGCGGCTGCAGCACCCCCGCCGCGATGGAGTTGGGCCAGAATCTCTGTGTGGGGCGGTGCTGAGATTTGATCTTCTTGGCTTTCGGCGCGGGGTCCGGGTTGCTGGCGTCGAGCATGGGCTGCAGGATGCGTCTCCGGGCGTTGATGAACCTGCCGGGGTGGGGGGGGGTGCTGGTCATGTCACTGCAGGGTGAGGGCAGAGCCCGCGCCTATAATTGTGCATTGGGCTGTGTGTGTGTGACTGTGTGTGTCTGTGAATGTAGATGACTGTGTAAGACTGTGACTATGTGACTGACTGTGTGTGACTGGGTCTGTGTATGTATAGGTGTGAGGCTGTGACTTTAGACTGTGTGAGTGTGTGTGGTTGTGCATGACAATGACCCGGGTGTATGTGTGTGCGTGTGTGTGTGTGTGTGTGTGTGTATGCGTGCGCGCGCGTGCATGCGCACACAAGACCTCTGCACCCAGACTCTGAGTGCCCCTGGCAGGCGGCATACAGCATCTAGTGCAGTCCCTGGGGATGAGCAGAGGCAGGTGCTGGGCAGCATCGCCCAAAGGTACTCACTGCTGTCTCCCCTCAGAGGACCCCGGGCTTATTCCCTGACATCCTGGGTCCACTCCCCGCCAGCCTGACCAGCACTGGGGGGTGACCTGTGTCTAGGGCAGCCCAGCCAGACCCAGAGACAGAAAAGAGATCACAGGGCAGGGGATGGCTGTATCCCTCCTCCTCCCTACTTCCCACCGCAGCTCTGCACACACACACACACACACACAGGCATTCAGATACACACACAGGCAAACAAACACACATACAGGCACACACACAGACACACAGACATACTCAGATACACACAAATGCAGACACACATACACACATGCAGACACACACAGGCACAAGATATACACATACAGACACATACAAAGGCACACAGACACAGATATACACTTGCACACACAGACACACTCAGACACGCACAAAGACACACACAGACACATGCAGACATACCTACTCACACACATGTAGACATACAAAAAGACACACACATGCACACACACAGGTAAAAGACATTCACACACAGACACATACACAGGCACACAGGTACACAGACACATACACACATGCACTTGTGCATGCACACACACACAGTGGGGTAGACCAGAGCACCCTCCGCTGCGGCCCCCTGAGTGTTGGGTGCAGCCCTGAGGGCCGAAGGTACCACCACAGCTGCCCAGCAGAGGGCGCCGCGGTGCTGCAGACAGAGCTTGGCCACGGGGTGGGCAGGCGGACAGGCCAGGCCCATGGCCAGGGGAGGGAACTCACCAGTTGTTCACCTGCAGGAGCGTGAGGTTTGTCTGGGCCGCGATCTGCCTCTTCTCATCCTCCGTGGGGTAGGGGTGCTGGAAGGCGGGGAGGCTGATGAGGGCGGTGAGCTGGACTCCCGCCTCTGACCACACCCACGTCTGCCCCCGTGGGCGAACTACGCGCAAACCACAAGCCACATTCTGGCTCACTGGGCCAGAGGCAGGAACCCCCAAAGCCAGCCTAGTTCAGGCGTCGAGGGGGTCTGAGTCCTACCTGAGGGTCCCAGCATAGAGCGCTCAAGCTGTCCAAAGCCCTCAGGATGGGCGCAGAGCCTGGGTCTGGGGCCCCAGTGCCACTCCCCAGGTCCCGAGCCTCCCCAAGTGATCCCTGAGTGCAGGCCCCGGGAAAGAACACCTCAGTGTCCCTTCAAGGCTGCAGTAACCATGGCGTGGCATCGCCTGGGGCTCTGCTGCCAGTGTGAGCCATAGCCCGGGCCGTCCTTTTCCTAGTGACCGGGCTGGGCCACCCCTGCAGGATGGACATGGTGGCCAGTGTTTCAGCGCCCTCTGCCACGGGCACTGGATTCATACACGAGCCCGGCGAGGTGATGGTCATGGATGCTACAGGCGAACTCAGCAGCACGGGAGGGTCGTGCCCCCTCAGTGGCCCCCGTCCTGGTCCTGGCCCGCTCCAACCAGTGGCTGCCCCCGATGCCCCTGCCCCTTAGTCACCTAAAAGCATGGGACGCCACAGTCCCGCTCCCAGCTGGGCTGCTGCAGAGCATGAGGACCGTGTGTGGGCGGGGACAGGAACAGAGCAGGCCCTGGGGGCCGGGCCCCCTTGTACATGCAGGGTCTTCTTTGTGGCTGACCATATAAGTGGAGAAAGTTCCACGAGATCCTGGGGAACACGTGCAAGGGTGGGGAGCCCAGCACCAAGGCTCCCAGGCAGCGAGGAGCCAGGCCAGGGGCTTCCGGTCAGGGCAGGCCTGACCACCGGGGAGCACAGTCATGTGTGAGTGGCGCGAGAGGAGGATAAGCCAGCTGGGGCATGGGCTCGGCCCCCTCCCCGGCAGCGACGGCTCCCGAGCACCAGTGGGGGTGGCTCCGCTAGACCCCCAAACATGTCCTGTCCACACAACAATGACTGTCCAGCCACACGGGAGGAGGCCAGGTTCCCTGTAGCAGATGGAGTTGTTGGGACGCACAGAGCTGGGCGAGAGAAGCTTCTAGATCCCCGCCGAGGGAGACCCCCAGAGCACGCGGCTGGCAGCCACCTTTCCCAGGTGGATGTGAGGACTCTGGGACACAGGGTGCTGAGCGCCCAACTCGGCAGGTTTTCTGCAAGCCGCTGGGTGGTGCGGTCAAAAGCCTGGCTTTCGTGGCGGGGGATTTGATATCAGCTGGGGGGCAGGCTCTGGGGGCAGAGCACCCGCCATATGTGCAGGTTCGATGCTCGGCCCCACAGGGTCCCCCCTACCGCTCGGACACAGAGCCACGGGGACTCGGAAAACCAAACAGTTGAGTCTGAGCCCTCGCGCCTTCGGGACCCCGGTTTCTGCACTGGAAGCAGAACTGGAGGAGAGACCCAGGAGGGAAGGAACCAGGGCTATTGATTGACACGGTGCTCTGTCCACAGCAGGAAAGAGCGGGCTGGCCGGCACAGCTCCACACTGACCACTATTTGCATCACCCCAAACGCTGGCAACTGGGAGAAGGTTCGGGAGCAGGAACTGCTGGCAAGGAAGCGGCAGCTGCTCCAGTCACACGCGCTGCCCCTGCGACGGGAGGTAGCCAGTAGCCGGCGACTGCGAACGTGAAACCCCAGTGCAATAGGGAAGTGGCCAAGAATGGGAGCGGAAGGATGGAAGACCGAGCTCTGCTTGAAGAGCTACTGAGTTAGGTTCCAGCCACACCAAGAACCTGGGAGCCGGCCGTGGGCCACCCTGGCCCCTCGAGTAGGACTGGAAACCAGCAGAGCAGCACCCTAGGGTCCCGCACTCTCTCAGATGCCCCCGGGGCCCCGCCCCCCAATCTCTCGGCCTGCTCTCCCCAGGCACCCCAGCTGCCGACCGTCTCTGGGTCAGCTCCTGCCCACGCCCGTCACCCACTCCCCCCTGCTTGGTCCCTGCTCCGCACCCAGGTCTGAGCAGCACCTCAGCCACGGAGCTCGACGCCATCCCTCAGGCAGGGCTGGTGGGATCCAGCGACTGAGTCGTGATCAGAAGTATGTGCTTCCTTGCGTGCTCTCCAGAGTGGCTGTGCCCCGTGACCCTTGGTTCTCCAACCTCACTTGGCAGGCCCGTGTGTGTGTGTGTGTGTGTGTGTGTGTGTATGTGTGCGCGCACGTGCGTGTGTGTGTGTGTGTGTGTCTTGTCAGCCACTCCAGGTGTATTCACACTGTTCACAGCTGTTATGTCCTCCCCTGACTCCCTCCCTCTCTCTCTCTCTCACACACACACACGCACGCACACAACACACACACACTCATTCCACCACGCACACGCACACACTACTCAGCTCAGACACACTTAGCCCAGAGAGAGTTGTCAGCCTTGACTTGTGGTTCTGTCCTTGAGTGTTGCTGGGTCATGTAAAGTCTTTCTGGCATTCCATGAAGGCTGTCTGGTGGTGTGCACACACACATGTGCACACACACACACACGCACACACAGGCCGGTGGGGCTAAAGCTGAACACACACTGGAGGCCTTTATGAACATAGTCACTGAGGCTCAGGAAAGCGATCGCCATAGCATCACAGGCTGGGAAGGGTAGTAAGGAAGGACAGGTTGAGCCTGGGCGTAAGTCTGACTGTGGGTCTGAGTCTGGGTGTAGGTCTGGGTGTGACTCTGACTGTGAGTCTGTTAGTCTGGGTATGAGTCTGACTGTAAATCTGTGAGTCTGACTCTAACTCTGTGAGTCTGGCTGTGAGTGTCAGTCTGTGACTGTGACTCTGACAGTGAGTCTGGGTATGAGCCTGTGAGTCTGAATATGAGTCTGACTGTGAGCCTGGGAGTCTGGGTGTGAGTCTGACTGTGAGTCTGGGTGTATCTGACTGGGAGTCTGATTATGAGTCTGACTGCGAGCCTGGGAGTCTGGGTGTGGGTCTGACTGTGCATCTGACTGGGAGTCTGGGAGTCTGGCTGGTGTCTGGGTGTTCCTGCTCTCAGCTGGCCTCTGGTTCACTCATCCTCTGTGCACTGGGCATCCAGTGGCTGTGGAGGCTGGTACTGGTTGTTCTTCTGCTTCCCAGCTGTGAGGGCCAGACTGGGAGCAATGTTCCTTCCCTGGAAGGCCCGTGTGGTCGTACTGCCTGCAGGGGGGCCTTTGCCGCACAAGGGCCACTGGCCTGTGGCTCCCACATGATTTGGGGGTACACGGCCATGGCCACAGGTGCCTGGCTCTACAGGATGACCGCTGCGGCTGCACCCCCCCCATGCTTCCCTTGCCCCCACCCCCCCGGAAGTATCTCTGGCAAAGGCTCTCTGAGAAGATAGCTCTGGAGGGAACAGTGAGGCCGGCATCCAGGGCCTCTTACCCTGCGCGGCCCTCGGCGCCCCAACACCATGCACTCACCATGAGATGCTGGAAGAGCCAGGAGCGCATGATGTTGGTGGCGTGCTTGGGCAGGACCCCGCGCTTGTTCTTGGACTTCTTGTCCTCGTTGTCCAGGAGGGAGGTGAGGTCAAGGTTAACCTTCAGGCAGAACAAAACCAGCATCAGCAGGCGGGCGCAGCGAGGGACCCGTTGCCATAGAGACACAGGCTGGCTGCCAGCCCCCTTCCCTTCCCAGTACATTTGGGGGACTCTCCCCACACCAGCCCCAAGGGAGTGGCCGGAGGGAGGGGGCGAGAGAGGAGCAGGAGCACTGCAGAGGCAGATCACGGGATCACTAGCGCTTCTGGGGACGGGACCCCGCAGGCAGGGAGGGTTGGTCACCACCCCATTACGGATCTGAACCCAGAGCCAGGGATGAGGCACCTTGGCTGAGGACAGTTCACAGCTCAGCCCTGGCCTCAGCCTCCCTGGTTGGGGTCCGGGAGTGGGGAGCGCTGGCTGGGGGCCCAAGAGCACACGCCTGCCCACTCACCTGTGTGTTCTGGATCTGGAGGGCGCCCTGCGGGATGGCCTGCGTGACCACCTGGCCTTGGGAGGTCACCATGGTGACCGGCTGGTATAAGGCTCCACCTGAGGAGACAGCCCGTGCAGGGGTAGGGAGGAGTGAAGGCAAGTAGGGTCCGATTCCCCTGGTGCTCACGGGCAAACCCTCTGCGGGGGTGATGGGGTAGGGGGGCACGACCCAGAGCAGGGCCCCCGGGGACAGTTTGGGGAAGGGACCATAATTGTCACTCAGTCCCCACAGGGCACAGGAAACTTTGGACTGTCCTAAACCTTCCCTACCAGTCTTGGTGCTCACCATCTAGAAACTTCCACCAAGAAACAGCTGGTGGCCTGCACCCCTCCTGGCTTCCTAGAATGTTTGCTGCCAGGTCCTGCCCTCCGCCCCAAGGGTGCCCTGGCCCAGCACTGACCTGACACCACTTGGGAGTTGACGGTTGTCATGGCGATGTTGCCCGGCTGGAGCGTGGACGCCGCCACCACAATCCCAGGGGGGTTAGCGGACACCCCGGACATGGAGTTGGGGGAGCTTTGCAGGAGGTCCTGGCGGAGGGAGGCCGGTCAGGCTAGGGCCCCGATGGTGCCTCTGCCCTCCTCCCCCCCAACACGCCTGACCTGACACCCACCCGCCATCCACTGGGCCAGTCCTCGCCAGGGAGCAAACTGAGGCAGGGGTGAGTGCTCCACCTGGGTCACTTCAGAAGAACCCCTCCCCTCATCTGGCTGGGGCATTCCAGAACGTTCTGGGTGATTCTAAGACCTGGCCATGCCTGACTGTCCGGCCCAGCTTCACGCTCCTTTCTCCAAGCCCTGGTTTCTGTTCGCACTGCCCTGCCCACAGCTGCACCCTCGGGGCTGGGTTGCGGCCCTCACTCAGCACCGGCCTCAGAGTGGAAATGCTGACAACAGTAACCCGGTGCCTGCCTGGCAGTCCCCGCCCCCACCACGGGCCCACCTCACCCGGCTTGGCACCTCCCCACCCCTGCCAACTCCCACTTTCTGTAGCAGCAATGGGTGGGGAGGCGGGTTGTGGTCCTAAGGGCCGTAGGAGCACTACAGGGGTTAAGGAATTTGCTGGCCCCAAACTTCGCCAGCCCGACAGCACGAGGCAAGGGGGTGCTGGCCTGGATGTCGGGGGCCTGCAGGCCAGGAGGGGGCTCAGCCCAGACCTCCAAGAAGCTTGTGGGCCCAGCCCGGGGTTCTTGGAAGGGCTGGGGAGTGAGGTCAGGGAGCAAGTGTGAACGGGAGCAGGGAAGGGCAGGGCCCAGGACACGAAGGGGCCCACCCGCACCCCCCACCCCCTGCCTCCGCTGCGTGCTCAGGCTCAGCCAGTTGCGAAACGGGAAACAGAGCTGAGGGGGGGGCTGAGGAACCCCCCCCCCCCCCGCAGGCTCAGGAATGGGGAAGGGGCGCCACACTCCAGGGGCATCCCGGGTTGTGGCGAGGAGGAGTGGGATTCTAGGGGGCCCAGATTCACTGTATCCCCAGCCGGGGGAGCCGGCGGCTGCCACCAGTGAATCCACTCCCTCAGCTCGAACCCCCTCCAGGTGGCCCCCGGCGTGGCTGAAGGCCGTGACCTGGGGCACAGCTCCAACCTGAGCAGGGCCAGGCCCGAGCTGAGAGCCCAGCCCTGAGCGCCCACCTGGCCTGGCCCCAGCAGGCTGCGACTCCGGTCTCCTTCCCCAGGGACCCCGAATCCCCACGCCCCCCCCCCCAAAGAGTCACTGAGGGCTGTGAGCACACGAACACCCCCCCCCCCCCAGTGAGACACAGAGAGGGGCCCTCAGGCGGAGTCCAAGTCGGGGTCTGCAGGAGGCTTTCCCAGCTACTGGGGGGTGAGGGGCAGAATCCAGCCCCCTGCTCTTCAAGCCAGCAGGGACCCCTTGCTGTGCGCCACTCACCCCAAACACAGTAGGGGGCTTCCCTCATGTTAGGGGGGAAATTCCAGATTCTCCAAGTTGCCTCAGACTTTCTCCCACACGTGGCGCACGGGAGGCCACCCTGAGGCAGCAAAGGGACAGGGTGGTACCAGCTGCAGCTTAGCTGCTGCAAAACAGCCCCCCAAGTCTGGGGATGGCCCCCACCCATCACTTGGTCAATCTGGAAAGGAGGGTGGCAGGACATTTGCAGCGTCCTGGCTGGAGAGATGGGTCGGGGGTGAATCCTGAGCACCCATGGGGGTGACCCCAGACCCAAAGAGGGAAGTGCCGAATTGGCCCCCGACTCCCCCCCCCCCCTCCGGCAGCTAATCCAGCCCCTTGAGCCCAGCACATCTCTCCTCCTGTCCCACCCAGTCCCCCAGCTCCTGCCCTGCAGGTTTGCCCCGCCCATGCGGGACCCCAGGGGGCTCTGGGCCAAGACAGGAGGGAGGCAGGCCCCCACAGAACCTCCACTGGGGGCCGCCACCCCACCCTCTGTGTGCTCCTCCCCTGGGGGAGTGTGGAGCAATGGCAAGCTCCCCACAGCCTGCTTGGGAGGTGAGTGTGAGGAGGCGAACACAGAGCAGCTCAGGGTGAGCCGGGGTGGGGGTGGGGGTCCATCTTCCCCTTCTCGGCTGCTGCCCCTGGAGCAAAGGAGAGGAGATCCTTGGGCTGCGCCTGCCCTTATCCTTGCCCTGTCATTCAGAGATATAAAATAGCTGGGCCTCAGGCCGGTCCTGCTGGGCCTGGGGGCGCCTGTGGGCGGCTCACTCGGCCTCTCCCCAGCCCAGTTCGGTGCCTACAGCAAGGGGCACCCTGGAGACCGCACGGCCGAGCGAGCTCAGAGGGGCCCCGGGAGGCCTGGCTGGGGCTGTCGGTGCTGATGGGGCTGGGGGCTCCTAGTGGGGCGGGGGAAAGCGTGTTCAGAGTCCCTGAGGCAGGACAGGAGTAAGAAGACTTTACTCGCGGCAGACTCAACTCAATCCCTGGCACCGCCTATGGTCTTCAGAGCCCCCCAGGTGAGACCCCTGAGCACAGAGCCAGGAGTAAGTCCTGAGCACCTCCAGGTGTGGCCCTAAAACAACAACAACAACAACAACACTAGGACAAAGGAACATGGGTGTCTTCTCCAGCGGGTGGATGTCAGCTTCCTAAGGGCGTGCCCGCTCTACCCAGGGAGAGAGAAAACGCGGCCCAAATAGTCAGGTGGCCGGCAGCGCCCACGGTGTGCAGACCACAACGGAGAAGGGGAGACCCCCATTCCCAGGCCAGGCCAGCGCTCAGTGTGTGCTGCCCGCCCCCCGCTCCCCACCCGGGACAGGCCTGAGCTAGGGTGGCAACGGGGGCAGTCCGTGCCCAGCTCCCCAGCTGAGGTGGGGGCGCTTCCTTCTTGCCTCTGCCTGTCTATCCATCTCTCTGTGTCTGTCTGTCCTCAGCTCCACTCCCCCTCCCCCGCCCGGATCTGCACCAGGCTCTCTCCCCCGACCCCTTGGATGTGACTGACATCGTCACTCTCCATCTCTCTCCACACATCCTTTACACATGGCCCCGGTGGACCACCGCTCAGGTCCCAGTGACAGCGAGGACCGGCCTGGGCCAGACGCACACTGGGACCCACCGTGCCTGCGCCCCAAGCGGCAGTGGAGGGGCTTACAAAGCCCCACAAGTCGGGCATTGCACTGGAGGCCCAGGAGGGGGCGCTGACGGGCATGGCAGGGGTGGGGGTGGGGTGGTCAGGAAAGGGCCCAGGTTTCAGGGAAACCAGCACCTGGGGAAGACGCTGACCAAGCAGAGCTGTGGGGAAACACGGCAGGGCAGGAGGGGGTGTGTATGTGTGCACGTCGTTGTGCACATGTGTGACCATGTGTGCACATGTGGCTGTGTATGTGTGCATACTTGTGTGGGAACATATATGTGCATATATGTGTGTGTGCACCACTGTGCATATGTGTGACCATGTATGCCCACAGGTGTGTGCAGCTCTGTGTGTGTATGGGGGTGTGTATGCTTGTCTGTGTCCCAATGAGCACATGTGTGACTGCGTGTGCACACATGTAGGTGTGGATGTGTATATGTGCGTGTGTGTAGGTGTAAAAACATATATGCGTGAGTGCATAAATGTGTACGGGTGTGCACCATTGCACACTTGTGTGAACGTGTATATACACATGTGTGCATCTATGTATGTGCATTTGCATGTGTATTGCATGTGTGTGCCACTGTGCACACTTGGAGGGAGTACATCTATGTGTGAGTGTGGACGGGCAGAGCGAGAGAGTCAGGGACAGAATGGCTTCAGGAGCAATGGCAGTCCCTGAGCAGGGGCCTGGGAGGCTGCAGGGAGCATGTGGTGACAGTGGAGGGAGCGAGGGGACAGTCTAGAGCCACCAGGAAGGAGGCTGAGCCTGATGCCATTCCCTCCTGCCTGGGGCCTTTGTTTCCCCCTATTGTCTGGGCTCCTCTGTGCAGGGCAGAGCTGGGGCTTCCGGTGACAGGAACCAAAGTCTGTCCAGGGCCAGGGGCTGGATGGGGTCACCTGTGCTTGCGGTGACCTCCTGTGATCCGCTCTCCCGGCCCACAACCCCCTTCTCCACCAGGGGCCCTGCCAGGGGCCGGGGGGTGCTGGGGTTCTAAGCCCCCTGCCCGCCTTTCCTCTCCAGCACAGGGGCATCCCCCTAACGCCAGCACTGGAGGCGGCAGGAGGGCCCAGGAGGGGGACTCCGGGGCCTCTCCGAGGACCTGATTACTTCCAAAGACTCGTGCTAATTTTCTGATATGATCCCCGCACGCGGGGAGGCACTAAATCCTCATTACTTTTCCTGACCGATGCATTCTAATTAGATCAACACTTAAAAAAAAGTCACAATAGCCACAGGATGGCTTTCCATCTCATTAACTCCTCACTTATTATTTTCATGAAAATTACTGATAAAAATGTGCATCTCCATTTGGTGCGGCCTCGAAGCCTCCCCAGCTCCTATCTCGGATCTCTCCCATCGCCGGGGCTGCGCGGCATCGCCATGGCAACCCACAATAATAGAAACTAATAAATTACAAACGAGATGCTCGTTGAGCAATTATTGTCCTCTTTTATGCAAGTTTCTTGCTAATTTTGATCATAAGGGAAAGTACAATAAGGCTCTGAAGGAATGAGTCTATTTCAAGAGAATATTAGCAGGCAGACGCCAGGCGGCTGTTTTGGGGGGTATTTTTTTTTCCTGAGGTGTAATAAAGTGGTTTTAAGCCACAGCAAAAGGAAATCAACTTGGCTGCGTGGCCCACGCACACACGACGGCGTCTCCTGAGAAGCCACTGGCCGGGTCTGACATGCCACTGTGGGCCAGACATGGGGCTCGCCTGTGGGGGGCCCAGCTCCCCCCAGCTCTATCACCGGGAGACCCAGACTGAGGTCACTGTGCCTGAAATGTTGGAGAGAGACAAATGACGCCACTGGTGGTTGGCACACGCTGTGTGGCACACGCTATTCCCCCCTACCCCGAACCTGGGGACCTGAGGGTCCCTGACATGGGCTTCCGCTGGCCCACCTGCTAAGAGGCCCTACATGTGTCCATCTGGACGGAGAAGCTGAGGGACTGCAGGGGGAGGGCGGGCAGGGCAGGAAGCTTCCGAGGTGCCTCACTCCAGGTGGCAGCCCCCTTCCTGGAGCAGAGGGGGGTCTCTGGAGAAGCGGGGTCGGCCTCCAGGGCAGCTTCAAGCTCCACCACGGTGGGCTCAGCTCTGGGGGCAGGGGAGGCCTCGGGGATGGTCCTGCTCTGCCTTCCTCTACGGGGGCACCCTGGGGGGGGGGCTGGGAGGAGAGGGTCAGCGGCCCATCCCGGCATTACCTGCGAGTGAAGGTTCATGGAGGGCTGGTTGGGGGAGTAGGGCCCCCCGAGGTCATTCCTGAGCAGGTTGTCGCTGTGCATTTTGGTTTTGAGGCAGGTGATGTAGCGGTTGCAGAAGTCCTTGCAGAGCTCGTTGACCTTCTCCAGCTCCAGCAGGTGGATCCGCAGCACCTGGATCGCCTTCACCATCTGTGGGTGGAAAGGGGGCAGGCAAGCTTCTCTAAGCAGGGTCCCATGGCCCTCTGGGACCCCCTTGACCCCGACCCTGGGACCCGGGAACCTGGGCCCCGGCCCTGTTGTGGTCACTGCCGTCCCTTTGCCCGCCGAGTGGGGTGGTCCCGGGAGGGACAGCCCGTGCATGAATGCCAAGTGCAACTGCAGTGGGTGCAAGGAGACCAGGGTTCCTGTGTGTGCCCATGGGCAAGGACACCAGCCGCCACCTGGGCACAGTCCCTGCAGGGACCGGAGGTTCTGGCCCTCTCCCAGGCCGGGGGCCTGACAGTAACCTCCTTCCCATGGTCAGAAAGCACCCTGGGGCACTGGGAAAGAGAGCCCTGTGGCATGGGGAGAGAAAGCACTGGGGCATGAGAGACAGAGCCCTGGGGCACGCGAGAGACAGCCCTTGGGACACGGGAGAGAGCCCTCTGTCTCATCACCCTGAGAAAGAACGATGACCCAGGGTGTCTCTTTCCCAAGGTCTCTATATGTAAGGTAGTTTCAGTCACTTTCCTGCAATTTTGCTTCCTGCTTCTCCCCTTAGGGTCCTGAATGTATTTCCTCCCTCTGTGGTGAATTTGTTTCCTCTCTTCTCCCAGACCAGGAGATTCTATAAGGCAAAGTATCTACTTTGCCTGGCACCAACACACATGGATACTGGCTAAATACTTGTTGGAGAAGTGAATCTTATTGAGCTAATCTAATTTTTGGGGGGAGGGCAGGTGCTCGGGTTTGCTCCTGGCTCGCAGATCACTCCTGGAAGGGCTTAAGGAACCCTATGGGGGGCTGGGACTAGCACTCAGGTCAGCTCTGTGCAAGCAAGGCACGACCTTAACCTCTTGGACCATCTGGGGTTAGCGCTGGCATTTAGTGTCTGATTTTACCTTTCTATAAAGAAAGGTTAGAATGACTATTTTCCCAGCATGTTGCCCACATTCCTGCTTCTGCTTTATTTCCTCGGGCTGCATCCCCTGGAGACAATGCAGCCACCCTCATGGCTAGTGACAAATGTCGCCTCATTGCTTGTTCACGCAGGTCTCTCGGCAACAACACACATGGATTCGCCGGGCATTCACCAGCCAAGAACCGAGCCTTGACTGAAGTTCCTCATCCTTTGAGACCATTAACGCAAACCAGTCAAAGACCCCAGTTGAAGACATATAACTTGTAGGAAAAAATGGAGAAAATAATCAGGACCAAGCATTGGGCAAGAAGGTCTTAGACAGGACCCCAAAAGCCTGGCCAGGAGAGGGAGAATGTTCGCTCCTCAAAGACCCTGGCAAGAAGGGGAAAGACACATCATGGGCTGGGAGGAGACACTTGCCACCCACACAGCGGACAAAGGACTCCCAGCCAGAACATATAAAGAACTCTCCCAACCCAGTGGTAAAATGACAGGTGATCGTGTAAGAACAAGGGCCAAAGCCGCACCAGGCAGTGACTGAGGAAGAAGCGCAGATGGCAAATGAGATCAGGGAAAGATGCTTTGTGCCATTAACCATGAAGGCGACAGTGACACAGAAGCACAGCGGCTAGCCCGGGAGCTGGAGGGAGTGGGCCCTGCTCTCCCCCCACCCCCGCCTCTGGCCATGGTGCAAAGGGTGTGGCACCTTTCAGAGGCGGGTGGCTCATCGGGCAGCAAGAGCTGTAGGTGTCTGCGAGACCTCACATGTGAACGTGGAAAGCAGCGTTGCTTCCAGCAGCCCAGACGGGAAACAAACAGCCCAGCTCCCCTGCACGATGAGTAAAGAAACAGTGGTACATCCATATCCCGGGCTAGTATTCAGCCACAAAAAAGGAGAGAATGCTGGGTAACATTTGGCACTCGGGATGGATTTCAAGTGAATCACCACGAGAACAAAGGACCAGAGTCAAAGGATGATGGACCTGGTGCCAGTTATGGAAGTTTCAGTGACAGAATGACAGAGGTGGAGATGCGTTTATGGTTGCCAGAGAGAGGGACTGGACTGTCTGTAGCTCAATGACTGCAGAGTTTACATGAGTCCATAATAAAATGGCATAGCTGTGCACGCACCCACATATAGGTGCACGCATACACACATACACACACACACATGCACGCATGCAAATGCACGTGCACACATACACAAAGTGCACGCAAACACATACACACATACACATACACACATAGACGCGTGCAGACACACACATGTACACACGTGTGCACATGCATGAATGCACACACAAACACATACAAGTGCATGTATACACATGCACACACAAAGTGCATATAAGCACACACGAGCGCATGCGGACACGCACGCACACACATACCACACACACATGCACACATATACCACACACGAATGCACACACAAGTGCACATAGAAGTGCTGACTTTTGGTTAAGACCAGCTGTCGACCTCATGGTCATGACCTAGGCAACAGGGAATCAGGACTGCTGAGACTGTGGTCACGGCAGATAAACACCATCAAAGAGGAAGCCTCAGTTTCCTGATGGTGCAGGGGGGGGGGGGGCGTGTGTATTCATGTATAGACATGTGCATGGATGTGTGCACACATGAAAGCATGTAAGTGTATCATATATGCACAGATGTGTATAAAATAACTTCCCTTGCCTGAGCAATAGTACAGTGGGTACGATAGAGCATTTGCCTTACACGTGGCCAACCCAGGTTCGATCCCCGGCATCCCATATGGTCCCCCAAACACTGCCAGAAGTGATTCCTGAATGCAGAGCCAGGAGTAACCTCTGAGCATGGCCAGGTATGACCCAAAAAGCAAAAAATAAATAAGTAAATAAAAAAATAAAAAAAAAAAAAACACCACGAAACCCTTCCCTGCAACTCCTCCTGCTCCTCCTCCCTTATCCCTCTCTCTGGCAAGGGGAGGCCAGGCCAGCAGAGCAACTGGGGCCCCGTGCTCACTTCTGGCAGGTGAGGTCTTAACCTTAACCCCTGGCCCCTCCCTGAATCTTCTCTCGGCCTTTCCCTCTTCACTCCCTCCTTCCCTTCCTTCTTTCTCCAGTTTTCCTTTATCAGACTACCACCACATTATCCTCATGTCCTGTTCTTGGGTAACACTGGCAAGAGTTTTTCAAAAAAGCAAAAGCTCCACATAATGACCACATCCCCCCCTTTTGTTGCAAGAAAGAAAACTGTCATACAATCTGCCATGATTATGCGGCGAAATGCCGTAATCATTTTTAATCAATATTTTATCTACTCATTCATTTTTAAACCTTCCCAGGAGGTGACGCGCACACATGCACGCACAACGAGCAAGCGTGTGTCTGTTCAGGAGCAGCTAATTGCAGAAAAGAATCGGGAAGTGCAGACAAGGGAAAAGAAAGGCAAAACTGGACACTTGGGGCCAGACTCTGCTGTGGAGCAAACCGTGTTTCTGACCCCTTGTGACTTGACCGGGTCTGGGGCCTGCTGCTGGAGGCTGACCCTGACCCCGGTCCAGCGGAGCGCTGACTTTGGGTAATGGGTTGGTGGAGTCAGTGGCGATGGCATTCAAGTGCCTGTCAGAAGAGAGCAGATGAGCTGTGGGGAAAACAGACAAAAGCTGGGAGTGGGGTCCAGGGAACCTGAGTTGTCCAGGTTATACACCAGGACACAGGGGACATGAGTGCTGCCAGCCTGGGTCCCAGTACCCTCGTGTGTAAGATGTGACAGTCACCACCTCGGTGGGGGGGGCGGGAAGGAGGCTGAGGGAGGGTCTTGGCAGAGCCCTGGGGAGCAAACACTCGATTCTAGAACCTCCTTCAGCTCTGGAGGCCGCCCCTCCGCTGACTTTCTCTGGCCACTCAGTACCGCTGCCTGTTTCCTCGCCTACTGTGGGTCTCAGCAGACAGACCTCTGCCCAGCGGGCTCTGAGTGTCTGCTCTTACCTGGAGTAAAACCACGGTTTAGGAAGATGGTTTTCCTACACCCATATTAGGTAAAAATGATTCCAAACCTCCCAGAATGATGGCAATTCCATTTAACAATCCTCACCCTGCGTGGTGGGTGCATCCTCAAATCCCACCCCAGGCTTCCACCCTTCCCCAGATCGTTCCCTCTGAGTCTCTGCCCAGACCCATCCCAACATCACCCAGCCCCGCCCTCGCCCTGCCCCCGCCTCACCCAGCCCCGCCTCTGCCTCACCCAGGCCCCCCTTCGTCCCCACCTCCTGTCTCACCCAGCCCCGCCCTCGCCCCGCCCCCGACTCGGCCAGCCCCGCCCCCACCTCGCCTCAGCCCCGCCCCTGCCTCACCCAGGCTCCCCTTCGTCCCCGCCCTCGCCCCGCCCTCCACCTCACCCAGCCCTGACCGCGCCTTGTCCAGCCCCACCCCAGTCCCAGCCCCGCAGGTAAGAGCTCGCCCCGCCCTCTCCGACCAGGCCCTGTTTCTGGCCTGGCTGCTGTGGGCAGGTGGTCAGAGAAGGCTCCCTTAGATTTAGGATGATGACAGGATGACGGCAGGGCTGGGTGAGCGTGAGTGGTGGAACGGGTCCAGAGAGGACGCTGGGGATTAGCCAACTTGCGCTTCCCCCTGGGGTTCTTTCCAAGAGGGGACCAGTCTCCACCAGCCCCCACAGATCCTTTCCTCACACCCACATGCCCATCCCATCAGCTCGTGAGATGCTTCTCTCTGTGGATCTCATTCAAATCGAGAGGGACAGGGACGTGCAGAAATATGTCCCTCCTACAGGTGAGGAGGGGGCGCAGAGGTGAGGAGGTGGGGTGCAGAGGTGAGGAGGTAGAGCATAGAGGTGGGGCACACTGATTCCCTTCTCTGTGGGACAGACCCCCAATAACTTCCTCATGTGGCTGCCGTGAGAATTAAAGATTGGGGGTGACTGAGAAAGGGGACTTGGAGAGGCCTTCCACTTGCCGGGGTAGGGGCAGATGACATCCCTCCCACCACCCCTCGCGTGGGGTCCCAGGGGACTTCCCAGGAGTGGTGTCCAGGGAGAGATGAGGGGTCTGGGAAAGAGCCAGCAGGAC